CTGTCTCGGGACGGGAAGAATGATACATCGTAAATGAAATTGTCAACTACAGTGAAGGACTCCCCCGTTAGGTGTGAGTATGCCCAGCCCGGCGATCCCCGCTGACTACCCCGTACTATGTGCTCGTTCATGAAATCCTATCCTGAAACAGAGATTGACGTGATGGATCACCTCTACTTACAACGTGGTTGCGGTAGTCCGTACTTTGTCTCTTTCTTATAATCCCGAGATTACCGCTTAGTCTAAGAAATCCAATGTCAGTAGTTGTCAACGCCCAGGATCATCATCATAATGGAACCATAAATGTCCAACCATTATCCGATCAGGAGACTGATCCACCCAAAATCGTGGAGCCTCTGTACTAGTATCGCACCAGTAAACCCTCGTTTCTCCCAAATAGTGTCCGTACAGCCAGCCCATCACGTGGAGTGGATGATCCATCACTAGTGTGTCGCAGACCCTCAGTTGAAAGAGACCATTATTGGGCACATTGAGTCCTCCGTAAGCCGAAAATAACTCTCCGAGGACCTTGAACAGACAAGAGCAAACAAGAGCAAACTGGTTTTATAGGCCATCCCTGAACAGCCACAAGCATAAAAGGGGGGAACCGTGGGACTGCGGCGGGAGTGACCCACGGTAACACGTGAATTGAACCGTTCTTGTACGACTCACTCTATTTCCTCGGGGATTTCGATATTAATTCATTAATAAGTGTGCTATTATTGTTTGACATCTCTGGTTGGGCATTGGGCGCTGAACTGGGGAGCCAAACAGCATCTGCAGGATGCCCCCGGCTGTCACACCAGACGACGTGGCAGTCTGTCGCCCGAGCGATCTTGGTCCGACCGTAGTAAATGGATAGGGAGGGTCTCGGGGTATGGCTGTGCTAGACGGACAAATGGGTTGATTTTTGCGGTTTCTTTCGGGCTCCCGCTGTAGGCGCATGCTACTTAAGGGAAAAGTGACTTGTTTATGTATTGTGCCATGTACTCTGTACCCCAGGGTCGACATGTATCGGGTCACCTTTTCGTAAGCAAGGACACATTTGCTGGCTCGGGTCACTCTCGGGCTAATCCGGTTCGCTGCCTCACTTTTTAATTCTTTTTTTTTTCTCGGCCGTCTGCAGTTTCTCACACAGCAGGATTCCGCTTCTAGGAGTAGTCGGTTCTCTCACCCGGGGGGTATGCCTTTGGGAGATGGCTTGGAGATGGCTTGCTGATGGCTGACCTCGACACGGATAAAGTTTCAGGCCATAGAATGGAAGAAATAGGAGAGAAAATAGCGAAATGAGGAAATACATCACCACCCGAGCATCTTAGAGTCCAGACCGATGATCGACCTCCATGTTTCTTGGAGTATTGTTGAAGTTGTCTTCTACTAAATGCCAACCCTCGTATCTCATTGTGGGGAGTGTCCTTCATCGTCGATCTGAACTTTTGTTCCTTCTCTTTTATCTACTCGTCTGCCCAATCTGCATCTATTTCATCTCCCAACTCGCGATACTACTGTCTAATCGTTTTCTTCCCCAATCCTTTACTATACAAAGTACATTTATCTCAACGCAGATCTTCTCCATCTTGATTGCATTGATAAGATCTGCCATTCCGCCTACCATCAGCTTCGATTTAATTTTCTATTTTCTATTGCGCTCCCAATCTACGTACGTCTTTCTCTGTCGCCGGTTTTCACAAACCATGCGCTAACTATTCACAGAAATACAACCCACCTCTCTCCATCCATTTGACTACTGATAGACAGTTACTTTCCCGGCCATTGTGACGAGGAACCAACCGCCATGACTGTCAATCTGGATGACGAACTGTTCACCAGTGCCATCTCCGGATACTACGAAGCTTTTTTGGTTGAACACTCCCACCTCCCGGAATCTGAACGAAATCAGCTATGGATTGAAAGGCTAAGTCAGTTCATCCCGGCCTCCAATGACGGGGATTCCAACTGGCAGCATGCTGGAAGCCTGGGGAAACGGACTCGATGGGATGCGACACCACGGACGTTGCCATACTCTGATTCCGGTCTTCCTCAGGCAAAACGGAGAGCCACCGTACGTGTGACCTTGGTTACTTGCTCCAACCTTATCTGCTCCGCCCCTCCTGAGCTCTCGTCTCCTAATCCTAACCGCCATTCGTCCTTGGATTGACAATTGGCAGACCCCGGATCTATCACTCGACCCAATACGCGACATCTCCCACGTCTCCTCCCCCGACATACCTCGGAACGGCGCTGCTTTCTCGGGACAAGGCTCCTATCGACACACGGCCATGGTGCGCTCCCAGAGCCAGCAAATTCCGGTCTCCCACCAGCACCAGCTAGCTGGTGCCGTCATAGGTAAACGCCAATCCGTCGGTCCGGTACGGACCCATCGTCGCCTCGACCATGTCGACGAATTTTCACCATCCGAGTACGCGAAATATTTGGACGCTTCTCCTAGTCAACCCTTTGACTCGGCCTTGACTTTGGGACTTGCAAATATTGGACAAACTGGACCATCGTTCCCTCAATACCCTGACCGGACGTCCCCCTGGATCGACCAGGCCCCAGCAGTTGCGCCGGAGATGTCCCGCAGTACGACCACCGACTCCTTAGTCGGCGGAATCAACATGTTCCGCTTCGACTCCACTGGACCACCCAACTATCAAGAACCGACCAGCTCCGTCCCGCCAGAGTGGGTGCCAACATCCACTTCCGGCCTGCCATATCAAGACCCCTTTCTCTCCCCTGTGTACCCTGACATAGATCCCACATCCTCTTCACCATTTTCCCACCGATCTGCCCTCTCCAACTCGTCATTCTCAGCATCAGCTCCCCCAACCACCTCCTTCCGCTACCCAGTGCCCCACAACCGCCTCACCATCGACTCCATCGACGGCAATAACCTGGCAACACAGCGTTCCCGCGCGGCGCGTCGTACTAAAGAGCAAATTGCCCAGGCTGCGCGCCCTATTGCCCCAAAAGTCGAGTCCGTCGAGAGCAGCATGTCCCAAATCGACCCTCACAGGATGCTCCGCATCTCCTCAGCAAACGGCACAACGAAGGAAGTCGCCGCTATCCCCAAGGCCTCAATACGGCGACCCCCGCGACCAAAGACATATTGCCGCATCTGCACAGACCATCCAGATGGCTTCCACGGCGAGCACGAGCTACGCCGCCATATCGAGCGTGTACACGCTACTGTCCGCACGGTGTGGGTCTGCAATGATATCTCACCTGGCAAGTACTTCCTTGCGAACTGCAAAGCTTGTCGCAATGGGAAGCGCTACGGCGCCAATTATAATGCTGCTGCGCATCTGCGTCGCACACATTTCAATCCCTGTGAGCGGGGCCGTGGCGGGCGTGGGAAAGATAGTGAAAAGCGCGGTGGGAAGGGTGGAGGTAACCAGCCTGGCATGGATGTGTTGAAACATTGGATGATTGCCGCTGAGGAAGTTACCGATGAGGCGGCTGGCGGTGGCTCAACCTCGAGGCTTCTGATTCGGAATCCTAGTCGTGTTTCGACAAAGGATCCTGGATATCAGCTTGCTGTTGCTGCCTGTCGTATGGTGGAGGGCCAGCCTCCCTATATTGTGCAGTCAGCTCTGCTGAAGGAGTCTGACCAATTCCCCGAGTTTCCTGATGCGCCGTTTGAGTTTGATTTTGAGCTGGACCTTGATCTTGACCTCGACAATCAGGACTCGGTGAGTTCCCAGTTCTCGGGTTTGCAGTCATCCTGCCCGCCTGATATTGATTCGTATGTCAAGTGAGCGATCGTAGTCTGATTTCCCTTTTGCCTGTTCTATGTTCTTTTGCGACTGTTTGGCCAGAGCACCGTTTCATCGGGGTCGTGTACTGTACTTTCGGATGTGGCTAATAGTCAGTCTCCGGGTTAGTGGGGGATTGGATCCTTTTGATTTGGAAAATATTTTCTTTGGCGATATATTATATTTTTGGACATGAGATAATCCGGTGGAGACTAGTTCGTGTGAACTAGCGCGTACTGACAGTGGAGAAGCTCGAACTAATCTTTTTGATAATGGAACTTGAAAGTGTCACAACGTTGCAATGATAACTCCCGAGGCATTCAAGTCCACGTAACTAGCACAAGCATCTGTGTGTTCCATGGTATGAGGGGTCCAAGTACCAGGTACTGCCCAGGCAGCAACAATATCGGCGGTCAAGTGCCAAGAGGCCTGGGCAGCGGACCAATGCTGTGAGTGGCTGAACACCTCCGGCAGTGGAGTCCCGTGTGACCCGGTGGCTGATCCCCAACCAATGGAATGCCACCCAAGGGATGCAATTTGTGGCTGACTGCGTTAGTCAACGATAGGGCTGGAAAAGACTGTGGCTGAACGTTGGAGGTAATACTGTGGCCTAAGTACATGACAGGTACCTGGGGGTTTCTTTATGTGATCCAGTCTGGGGTACTAAGATGTCGGTGTTCCTAGGATTTGTTAGTATGAAAATGAAGGTATTGGCTTGTAAATAACTCGTGAACCGAACGAAAAATAAAAAAATGACCAGGATCAATATTTACTAACGAACTTGGCCCGTGTGGAGAAGAAGGAGAAAGGGGGAAAGACGAAAAGGTACATCGGAGGTACCTCAGCCCTGAGGTCTTGGCAGGCAGAATCCCCTATCGGGCGCACCGGCAAAGTACCTCTCAGGTACCCCAACAATTTCCTTCTCTGCAATACAGTCTCCAGGTGAGTTTACCTAAGTTTTCTCCTTCCTGACACTCTTAACCTCCCATCTTCATCAACCTCACCTTTCATCTTCTTTCCATTGCTTCAGTCACTTATTACGGTGGTTCATCACAGACTCCCCCTTTCGACCAATCTCCGTCTTTTCCTTGTCCCAGGTACGTTGGTTTAACCGCTGTAGCGGCCATCCCTCCTTTGTGACCCTAGTTCGCATCACATCAAGGCGCCGAACCGCCCTATAATGTTGGTTGTTATCAAGTCGCTAATTCGGTCTCCTTCGACTTTAGACGATCATCTTCCGTCGCGATGTCCTATCAACAGCAGCCGCCGCCTCCTCAAGGATACCCCCAGCCGGCGTAAGTCATATCCATCACCACGATATTGGATTCTAGCCGACCTGTTGGGGCCAAACATTTAAGATGCCACATATGACACAGGTCGGCTTCTGTGCGCTTTGCGACCGCGGAAGTTGTACCCTGGTCTGCGGCGAGCTTACATATTGGTCATTACGCTGAACGGGGTGCTGATCAACTTTCAAATACAGATACGGTGGTTACCAGCAGCCACCACCGGGCCCGGGATATGACCCTTACGGCGGCCAGCAAGGCGGATACCCCCAGGGTGGCTATCCTCCCCAAGGCCAGTACGGCCCTCCCCAGGGGCAGGTAAGTGTTGACATAACCAACACCACGTGCTACACATTCTTACTCGTCGATTTACAGATGCAGTACAACAACCAAGGTCAGCCGCCACCACCAGAGCAGAAGAGCGAAAAGGGATGTCTCATGAGTTGGTAAGTATCCATATTGTCCTTGAAAGTTGGAAACAATGCTAATGTGAGCTCTTTCCTTTCAGTCTGGCCGTGATGTGCTGTTGCTTCTTGTGCGAGGAGAGTTGTGAATGCTGCATGGAATGCTGCGATATGTGCTGCTAAGCTCTACGATCAATGACATCGACGATACCTTTCTTCTTGCTGGCGTTGGAATTTCTCGATACGCCCCGCAGCGTTCTGGGACAGACTACTGCACTCTTTCAATTGCAATAATTTATTTTCGTCTCTGTTACATTGCACTTTTGCTTTCTCTGGACAGAATGCTCTCCTGGTGGGGTCAATTTAGCTCCAGTATTTGTTCATCCCATCCAAGGGTTCATTTGATGAATCTTGCAAAATTCCCCATTCGTTGCTCAGATACATTCGCATGGATTAAATGCATAAAACCGTGACTTTCTTGGGGCTCTCTACTAGATCTTTGAATATTTTTTAGAATCTTGAAAATAATGTTATACTACACTACATGTCTGAGCTTTAGCCTGATCTTATTTTCACCAAAGTTTGGGGGGGGAGCTCAGCTTTTCTATATCCCCAAATTATTCTCAAGGTTGTTTTCTGACAAGCTTTTTATCATTTTTATTTAACATAAAACTTTTGCCTTGGGTTTATTTATAGAATATTGGCTGATCTACAATACCTACGTAATAATATGGAAGCGCATCGCTTGGTCTGAGCTAGCCAGTCTCCATGCTGTGTCTAAGCGCCTTGTTCTATGCATTGCTGTCTGGTCTAGTGCATGGTTGCCTGGAATATTAAACCACAGAAGCCCCGAGAATATCGATTTAATGAATTTGTTATTGTTCTGTTTGATCTCGTGTCTGATTATTTGTTAGCTCAAGGAATGTCGATATATACCAACAGCGTTATTGCTATGGAGGTTGGACCAAGCCCACTTGACACTAATGGATTATGCCTCTTGTCCCTAGATGGTGGGGGTGTGAGGGGACTCTCAAGCCTTCTGATATTGAAGGATATGATGATACAGCTTAATTCAGAGCGCGAGGATAGCGAAATCCTCAAGCCTTGTGATGTATTCGATCTGATCGGTGGTACCAGTACAGGAGGGTGTGTATTAACAAACCATTTAGTAATAGCTAGGCTGACATGTGATTTCTAAATATTTAGACTGATCGCCATCATGCTAGGACGGCTGGAAATGGGTGTCGACGAGTGCATCCTTGCATATACCGAATTGATGGAATCGGTCTTCGGCGAGAAAATTACCAATATTCCGGTTAACTTGTCTGGAAAGATCGTATCGCAATATGATAGCAAGAAGCTCAAAAATGCCATTGAGAATGTCATCACTCGCGCTGGGTTGTCACCAACCGACCTGATGAATGATGGGAAGCCCCGTCGCTCTAAAACCTTTGTCTGCACAACCTCCAAAGACACATTACAAGTTACGCGCCTTCGAAGCTACCCTGTGCCAAATGAGATTGCGTTGCCGGCAACGATTTGTGAAGCAGCATTGGCAACATCCGCCGCAACCAGATTCTTTGATTCGGTTTCGATCGGAAATCACCAATTTGTGGATGGTGCATTCGGGGCCAACAACCCCATTGAGGAAATAGAAGAAGAAGCGGCCGATATCTGGTGCACCACGAGCCGGGCTCTACAATCATTAGTGAAATGTTTGGTGTCCATTGGAACTGGCGATCCTGCTAAACTTCCTATGGATGACAATGTTCTTAGGTTTCTTTCAAAGACATTAGTCAGAATGGCGACTAAACCTGAGAGCACCGAGCGTCGCTTCATGTCTCGATGGAGCAATGAAGCAAAGGGAAAACGTTATTTTCGTTTCAATGTGGAGCAAGGACTGCAGCAAGTTCACATGACCGAGTTTGAGAAGCAAAGTGTCATCGAATCTGCGACATATGCCTATTTACATCATTCTTCACAAAAGGCCCGAGTACGTGATTGCATTCTGAATCTTTCAGTAAAAGAAGGTAGGACTTGAAGCTGAAACCTTTACTCTTTTGCCATGGGATGCTGACAACTTCCAGGAAAGACAAGCATTGACTTCGAAACAAATATACGTGTAAGATATGATTCATTGCTCAGAATGTTCATCTTATTGGGACATTGAGTACTAATTCTCTATTAGGAGCATGAAGCTCGAGTTACTCGGCATCGAATTCTGCAAACCATCCACTCATCGGACAGCTCTTGTGGTTATAGAAAGCCTGCAGGCTGGTTCGTCCCATTTGAGAGAAATCCTCGATATGTAGACCGTGAAGTCGTGGGCAAGGTAAAACGCAGATTATTTAGCAAAGACCGAACTGAAAGAATTGCTATCTTTGGCCTTGGAGGAATAGGCAAGACACAAATTGCCCTGGAACTTGCCTATCAAACACGAGACCTCTATCCAGATTGTGATATCTTCTGGCTCCCTGCAGTCGATCTGGAAAGTCTCCAACAGGCATACCAAACAGTGGCCGACCAGCTTGGCATCGGTCTCGATGATACAAAGGAGGATATAAAGAGCGTTGTCAAAGACCACCTAGGCAAACCAAGCAGCGGAAGATGGCTTTTAATTTTTGACAATGCCGATGAGATTGATATGTGGACTGAAAGCAAAGCTTCGACCCCTGGAGGACTGAAAGACTACCTTCCCACAAGCGACCAAGGGGCCATTGTCTTTACCACTCGAAGCAACAAAGTGGCCCAATATCTTGCCACAACAGACATTGTGAAAATTCCCGAGATGGACGAGAATAAAGCTACCCATGTCTTGCGAAACTCTTTGGTTGACAAGGAAGTCCTTCACGACACCGAGAGTACACGGAAGCTTCTCAACCGGTTGACTTACCTCCCTTTGGCTATTGTGCAAGCTGCTTCATTTATCAACGAAAATGGAACTACACTGGCCGGTTATGTTGAGCTTTTGGATGGACAAGAGCAGAGCGCCATTGATTTGTTGAGCGAAGACTTTGAGGATAAAGGTCGATACCAAAATATTCGAAACCCTGTTGCGACCACCTGGCTTACATCCTTCGAGCAAATCTACCGACAGAGTCGCCTTGCTGCCGACTATCTCTGTTTTATGGCTTGTATGCAAGAAAAAGACATATTGGTTTCACTTTTTCCTCCACATGCAGGTGTCGAACAGCAGAAAGCGATCGGTTTGCTCAGCTCTTATTCCTTTGTACGCCTGACGTATGGAGATTCTCGCCTCGACATGCATCGTTTAGTTCATCTTGCAACACGAAATTGGCTACAGTCAATCGGTTCCCTCCGACAATGGCAGTCGTATGTGTTGATTGGGTTAAATGCGCGCTTTCCCAACACTGATATCATGTATCGGAGTCAATGGCGAGCTTCGGTACCCCATGCCATTCGGGTCCTCACTCTGACAGAAAAGGAAGATCCCATACCCGAAAGAGTCCACCTTTTACTCAAGGTAGCTAGATGTCAAGTTACTGATGGAAGGAACAAAGAAGCCGAGACCCTTTACGTTGAGGCCGTCCAAGTTTCGGAGACATTATACGGCCCCGATAGTGTAGATGCACTCGCGGGGATGTACGGGTTGGTGAGTAGCTATTCGCGCCAAGGCAAGGCGGAGAAAGCAATTGAACTATGCGAGGAGATGGCGGAGACACAGAAAAGACTTCATGGCCCCCATAGCATCGAAACTATGAGGGCTCTTTTCCAGTTATCGGGTATGCACAGCATCGCTGGCAACTATGATAAGGCGAAAGAGCTGTGCAGGAAAGTCATCCCACACTATCTCAGGACACTTGGCCCAGGTTCCATTGAGACTCTCGATGCTATATTTTCCCTAACCTTGACTTATGTCTACGATGGACAGCTCTTAGATGCCACGGAGTTATCTATCCAGTCATTGAATATCCACAGAAAGGCGTTCGGGTCGGACAATACTCGAACGCTTGCGGCCATGTGTGGAATGGGCGTCATATACTTGAAAAGATGGCAGCTTAAAGAGGCCGAATCATTGTTTAGAGAAGCATTTGAAACTCAAAAGCGTATCTTCGGAAGTGAACATCCTGACACAATCACGTTCATGGCTTGGCTAGCTACCACATGGAGGTATCAAGGTCGGCACAAAGAAGCTGTTTCCTTAAGAACAGAGTGTGTCCGTTGCTGTGTGCAGGTCTATGGTTTAGACCATGATTATACTCGGGTTCACTACTCATACCTGGAGTCATGGACTAAGTTCAAGTATGTTTAGTTCCGCCACTGATATTTGCGATGAATGTACTGACCAGGTTATACAAGGACCCTGCACTCATTCTTACGCAACAATCTCCCTCATATTCAGCGTTCGGATATGATGCTGGAACGAAGGAGCCATTATCCTAAAGTCAAGGTGTATGGTCTCTGGTACGCTCGACGACAGCCAAAAAATGATTCTTTGCTTCGTGAAATCCAAGAAGCCGTGAAGGGCATGTCCGTGAACAGGCAAATCTCGAGTGGTGCAGTCACCCTGATTGATGGCCAGACGGCCGAAAAAGATGTGACGGGGGCATTTCAACAACCCTCCTAATCATCTGTTTGAGGTCGCGAATTGTTTCAAGCTCAATAATTTCTCCATAGAACTTTGATGTATTTTCATTCTGGTCTAAATTAAACATTATTTTATACATAGTTGAAGAGAAAAATGTGAATAAGAAGCAAACTCTCTATTGGGTCATTGAAACACGGTCGGTATGGAGGGGAATCTGCTAGGTAATCTGTGAGAGGCCCCGCAAGGAGTTGCTTTTGCGTCTAGTGACCCCGCGCTTTTAAGTCATGTCCGTCGCGCACAAAAACCATACTTATTGTCCCAAAGATTGACGGCAAACGAAATCCTTGCCCATTGGCCATAACACTAGAACCAACGGAGTAATCTCGACCCGTTGCAGAGTTCGCTATGACCGCGTCCCCACCCGCGAGCCCTCGGACGAAACGATAATAAGTGGTTAGCCCATTGTCTAAAACTATTGCCCGAACGAGGCTGCCCCGTGCGCTTTGCTGTATCAGGTTGTCATGCAAGACACCCGAAGCAATCTTCATTTGCGCGAATCCCATTTGCGATCCATGGGGATTTGCCTAATTCATAAGATGGGCCGATGAACTAATAAGTAGTAGTGATACTTATAACTCGACTGTGACTTCTAAACCAATGGAATCTTTAGAGCAAGCTCAAGAGACACCGGCTGATCAGGACGGATATCTCGGTTGGTTATACTGGATCCGGCCCAAATCTGATAAGAAAAGAATTTTCCCGGAACTCATCCGGGTTCCTGGTTTCTTGCGCGACAAGCGAGACAATTGAGGGAATTACATGATTTATGACCTGAAAAACTGAGAACGTATCCACAGTTAATATTGAACTCTGGAAGCCAAGAGGCCAAGCGAAGCTTGAGACTAACGATATAAAGCTTGTTGTGGAAGACGCTTACCCGTTATGGCCTAGTGCTCGCTAGATAAGATGAGGGCGACATCTGATTAGATCTGCCCTGGTCACTGTTGTTTCTTGGTGGATCCAGCACCAGGCTAGCAGCCCTGGCATTTGCCGAGTGGATAAAACAATTTCACCAAAGCACCAGTGGCCACGAAAAGCCCCCGATTTTGCTATGTGGGTCATAACACCGCGTAGTCTTTTACGACCTTTTCGGTCTCCCATCCGAACTCTGCCGATCTCGGGGGTTTTTATAATATAAGTGCCACCGGTGTCCCTTTATTTCCAAGCTTGTGTTGATTTCTTGTTTAATTTTACCTTGTTTTGACCATGGGTGTCCGTCTTTTGGTCCGAAGGGCCCGAACGGTCTTTAGTCGTGTAGCGGCCTCTGACGCCGCAAGCTCAGCTGACACATCTGCTGTGGATGGAACCACCGCCGAGGAAAGCAAGAGAGATCCTGCCGCCGATACAGAAGTTCAGCAGCCGGAAACGCCGGCGGAAGACCTCCAGCATGGTGTCAGGGATATCGAAGCCATCACCATGACCTGGTCCAAGCGAACTCTGATTATGGTTTTTCTCAAGTGAGCCCTATTCTTATGCAATCAATCTGAACAGATGCTAACGCTGTTTATTATAGTATCTGGTTCCTATATTTCGTCAACGCCTTCCAATCCACGGTTTTCTCCAGCCTGAGCCCCTACGTCTCCAGTTCTTTCACGGCCCACTCGCTGTCCGGTGTGCCCACTGCGCTTGCCGATGCTTTCTCGGCGGCAATTTACATCCCCGTCGGAAAGATGATGGACACTTGGGGCCGTGCGGAGGGATTCTTGCTGATGACATGCTTCGCTACCTTGGGATTGATTCTCTTGGCCGCTTGCAACAGCTTTGCTATCTACTGCACTGCATATGTAAGACTACCATCGGCGCTCATCATGATGTCCCGGAAAATTTCCTTCATAAATGCTTATATCTCGATCAGGTCTTTTATTCCATTGGTTTCAGTGGTATGGAATATGCCATTGATGTAATGACGGCGGATGCCTCCAAGTTGAAGAACCGAGGCCTGGCATTTGCTTTCACCTCTTCACCATACATTATCACCGCTTTTGCCGGACCGAAGGTAGCAGATGAGTTCTACTACCAGGTCAGCTGGCGATGGGGCCTGGGCTGTTGGGCCATTATCTTCCCTATCGTGGCGGCGCCCTTGTACATCATGCTCAAGACCAATCTTCGCAAAGCTGAAAGGGAAGGTCATCGTATCCAGGAGAAGAGCGATCGCACATTTTTGCAAAGTGTCTGGTATTGGATCATCCAATTTGATTGTGAGTAACATCTTTCCCTATTATTTCAGCGCTGCAAAAATCGTGTCAGTCGGACACTATCGACATGACTTGCCAATTTCAACCGTTTAGTTCTTCAAACATCGACTAATCTTGGATAGTGCCTGGCGTTGTCATGTTTACCGTTGGCCTGGTCCTCTTCGAACTTCCTTTTGACATTGCGTCTGAGGCGCCCAACGGTTGGGGCTCGGGTTATATCATCGCCATGCTTGTGGTCGGGTTCTCGATGCTCTTTGTCTTTGCTATCTACGAAACATGGGTGGCCCCTGTGCCTTTGCTCAATATCGTCATCCTCACCGACCGAACTGTTGTTGGTGCCTGTCTTTTGGATGCCACCTATCAGCTATCTTACTACTGCTGGAACAATTACTATACATCCTTCCTACAGGTCGTGAACAACTTGACGATCGCCGAGGCTGGATATGTGAGCAACACATTCGACGTTGTGTCTGGTGTGTTACTTCTCATCGTCGGCTGGATTATCCGAAGGACCGGCCGTTTCAAGTGGCTGTTATACATCTCTGTTCCGCTTTACATCTTCGCCCAGGGATTGATGATCTATTTCCGCAAGCCTGGTATGGGAGTCGGATACCAGATCATGTGCCAGATTTTCATTTCGATCGGCGGTTCGATTTTCATTCTTGTCGAGCAGATTGCCATTTTAGCCGCTGTCGATCACCAACACGTTGCGGCTGCCTTGGGCTTATTGAATGTGGTTGGTACTATCGGCGATTCCGCTGGTTATACTATCTGCACAGCTATTTGGACCAACACCTTCCCCAAGGCTCTTGCAAATTATCTCCCAGAGTCGGCTATGTCCAACTTTGAGAACATCTACGAGGATATCACAGTGCAGACTGGCTATCCCATGGGAAGTGAGGTAAGACTAGCTATCCAGGCGGCCTACGGCTATGCTGAAGTCCGTATGCTTTCAGCTGGCTTGGGAGTTATGGCTTTGGCCATTGCCTGGACCATCATGATCCGTGACATTGATCTCAAGAAGACTGCCCAGGTCAAGGGTACTGTCTTCTAAGAATCATCGGGCAAGATAGCTAGTCATGGTGTCCGGTTGGATATCGGACAATGTGCATCATACTGGTGATACTCTCACGATCACGCTGGGAAGATCAAATCATGGTAAAAAGTCACTTATTGTGATATGTTCTCTGCGGTTTCTTGTTGTCCGTTTGTTATCCCTTTTATCTGTTGATATCTAGTCCTGATATATATATTACGGGAACGCACGCATAGTAATAATTTATCCACATACCCAATTCTGATTTTTATGTTTCACAACCCCAAATGTGGGATATATCTTTGAGTTTAACTAATTTTTCTTCATATTTTCCTCAATTTCCGGGGATATCTTCGTGACATAAGAGTCAGGGACCGGACAAGGGGAGGATCTGCAGCGGAGAAGGGCGCGTGGATTTACCCGTCAATCACAACTCACGTCCCCTGTCATGGCGTTGACCAATTACCCCTCAACGCCCAACCAAGGGAACGGCACCATTTGGAATGTGGCGTCAATTATCAAATCAGCGTGATGAACATGAAATTGCTTGCTGATATAAGGCTTGGCACCTTTCCCGCCAAGATCCTGCTGTAGTGTTTCATGAGCTAACGCAAAGGAGCAGACCATTGCAATATAGGTCGGCCTTGCTTGTGCCGATGTTTCCCCAGACGGCGATTACTTGCAGGGGTTCCCTCTTGGTATATGCACCCCTCATGGGGATTTACCTAATTAGGATTGAAGTGTTGCTATTGCGGTCGCTGTCACCAGATTATTCTGCTTAGGCGCCTAAAGGAGGAGACTGAGTTATTGTCTTTGAACCCCTCATGGAGATTTACCTAATTGGGAATGAAATTTCGGTATTACGGTCGTTGTCGGCAGATTGTCCTGTAATAAGGAAGGGATCATGTTATGATCCTCAAACCCCTCAGACGTCACCTCGATCCATCCGGGTCAATTGGAGCACAATGAGGAGCACAACAAATTATCCGGCATGGCACTCGTTGGGTCATGGAGTTGCTTGCATATAAATATCCACTACAGCGCGCCTTTCAGTCATATCCCCTGCACTCTAAACAGCATTGGCGAGTTAAAACAGCCAGCTTTGGACTGATCACACCAAAATGCTGCACAAATACCTTCTTTTGCCGCTTTTGGCGTCATATGGTGCTGCTGTCACCATCTCGGTAGCAAAGTCTGGAGGCAATGCCACATCAGGCTTGCAATATGGAGCCATGGAAGAGGTATGTTCGGCTTCTTGTCTTGCAGTATTGGATCTAATTTAAGGTGTAGGAAATCAATCACTGTGCCGAAGGAGGCCTCTATGCCGAATTGATCCGCAACAGAGCGTTCCAGGGGAGCACAAAGTTCCCTTCATCATTGGAGGCCTGGTCTGGTGTTGGGGGCTCATCGCTGTCCCTGAAGAATCTCACTGACCCATTGTCAACTGCCCTTCCAACCTCAGTGAATGTGAAGGGCACTGGCACAGCCGGGTTGACTAATGCGGGTTTCTGGGGAATTGATGTCCGTCCTCAGAAGTATACTGGCTCATTCTACGTGAAAGGCGCTTACAAAGGCTCCTTCACCGCATCTCTCCTTTCTTCCAGCGGGAAGGTTTTGGCCACTACTAAGGTTGCCTCAAAGAGTGTTGCGAACGACTGGGTGCAACATGAGTTTGTTCTTACTCCCAAAGAAAAGGCTTCTGATACCAAGAACAAGTTCTCGCTGACCTTTGATGGCTCGGTAAGATT